GTGTTCGGTGTGGTGTTGTGTGTGGTGTGTGTGTGTGGTGTTGTGCGAGACGGCCGTGTAGGGAACGCTTCACTCGGTCGTGTCAGCGAGACGGCCCCGGCAGTTAGGGCCGCCGTGGCCCCTGGACCTTCTTATCGTTTATCTTGTAGCGAGGACCACAGGGAATTTAGACACAGGTTCTTCTTATTTTTAGTTGTCACTGAGTTCATGATGTACGATAAAAGGACATTGTGAGGACACTAATATGGTCACCACGTACGCCACGTCTTTCCTAACGGTGCTTATATAGACGTCGCTAATCGCACTCTAAACATAAGTTGTACAGTTATTACTCTCCAGAACAAGCAATTCATTACGCGAGATATAGTTCACCATCTAGATATTTCGCGTTACACGTTGTATACGGCATCTGGCCTGTAGAATGCGTGAGGCGTGTGTGTGTGTGTGTGTGTGTGTGTGTGTGTGTGTGTGTGTGTGTGTGTGTGTGTGTGTCAGACTCACATCTACCAGCCAGACATCGCTCACTCTGGTGTCCTTAAATCTGTCCAAAAAGAAGAATAAATCAAAGTGACATAAAGTGAACTACATGCTATTTTCTGTAAACTCATATTATAAAATGTGTGCTGCATGTCAAACATACACATAATAAAGACACAGTGGAAGAATTGATATTCAAACATGTAAATATGAGGGTCATTGTTCGTTAAAAGTAATGGACGAGCCTTCAACTTAATAAAAGAGATTCAAAAAACACAAATACACAAGCGACAAAATCTCTACAGACATCCACAAGCATCCAATTAAAATGCAACTGGAAACCTGAGATGAAATCAAGATTACCCTCTTTAAATTGTAATTATGTAGCCCTTTGTTAACCCCTTCAAATATGGGTAAAATTGCATACAATCAAAAATGCACAAACTCCTCTAATAGAGAAGAAGTAAGCATCAAACTGATTTGCACCAACATGATGGCAATTGCACGTTATCATGTCACAGTGGCAGGAAGGTGAAATATAGGCAGAGGAGTGCATCACTTACGTGTCATCTAGATCTTCAACAAATGCAAGCACCGCTGAAGCCAGAAAAGCCGCGATAACTGCAACATTGAGACATACATTAAATCACATAAACGACATGTCATATTAACGTAACAACATCTTTACAGTCTCTATTGTCCAGCCCACCAGCCTGAAACCTCATGACTGAAGCATCACCAGCTAAAGCTCGTCCCAGCTAACTGAGCATCATTTCCCCTTCGTTTCGACAACTGGAGCTTTAAAGGTTCTATTAACATATGCAGTGGTTACATGTTTCATTTAGCGTTGAATGTAAATGAATAAAAAAGTGAACGTACCGCCACAAATTAGGGAAGCTTTCACTTCTGCCATTGCTTCGAGTGGAAACAGCAGCAAGCAGGAAATACAGCTGCTAAATGTAGCCGGACTGCGCATGCGCGGGGTTACGCAGGCTCGCAACAGCTTCAGGCCCTAACGGCTGCTTTTTATTTATTGTTTAATATTTAAAAATGATAAACATAAAACTGGATCAGTGTATTTTGTTTACCATTGTTTTCCTGTTAGATGTTGTCAGAATCCGCACTCAATATGAAATCCAAATAAAAATATCGTAATGTGCAAATAATAGTTGCTTCTTTTTTAAATTCACGTTATATTTATCAGGCAATTAAACTGCATTTAACTGTATTAGGTTATAATACTGCCAGTAATAGCGAATACTCACCACAAGGTGGCGATCTAATAAAATGAATACAGGCAACAGTCCAACACTTCCTGTAGGCCAAAGTATCATAAAGTACTGGATTCAAAGTTATAATTGAAGTATTATCAGTAATGTGCTATTTATGTACTCCTATATCCTTAATTTACAATACCTGGCCCCAGGTTTAGGAATTTGCAGCATGTAATTATAATATGAAATAATAAATTACCAAATTTGATCAAATGAAAAGATAATATTTTCCAAGACTCATTGACATATTGTTCTGTATTATGCTTCATACGTTGAGCATATGTTTTGAATATAAAATATGTATCTGTAACGTTACTGTCAGGTAGATTTTGTGAAATAATTCCCTCTAAAGTAGAAAAGAAGCAAAAAATGGTGATACAGGTGCCTTGAAATGTAATAAAACACAGTATATCGAAAAATGTATTATCAAGATTGTTTGCGCAAAGTATCACATGAACTTTGATTTTATTGGAAACATATTTATTTTTGACATATTTTGAGAATAATATTTTTGAATTACTTTAAAGTTATAAACAATGTTACTACATAATCTTCATATTCCAAAGGATATAGTTTTATCTTTATTGTATTCTTATATGCACGAACATATCTCACATCACACATGAGCACATAAAAAAGAAATGACAAGGCATTGAATGGTTAGCTTCACAGAGTGTACTGGATTTTACAAAAATAAATAAACACCTTGGTGTAATATTATGGCCATGTTGATATGCTTCATAAATCGGCCAAGTACCCTTAGTCATAACATCACAGAGACTTCAGCAGAATTAGAAAGCATTAGCCCAGCCTGCAAAGGGTTTTAAGATAGACAGAGGTCTTGATATATATTTTAACCTAATGCAGCATTGAATAAACATCAAGCAGTTCTTGAAAAGAGAGAACATTGGTAACATTTATATCAGAGATTCCAGTTTCTTTTTATTGTATCATATGAATCTAAACCATTATGTGTGGTGTAACTTTTCAACAGACATTTTATATATCTAAAGAACATCCGCCAGCTCAAAATGTCATTCTTGGGAAAAAGAGAGAGAGAGAGAAGAAAAGAAAGCGTGAAATAGTTTCCCCCCGTGAGAAAGAGCTGTACTTTCTCATGGGGAGAATGGTGGTCATGACTGTGTTACTAAATAGACTCATGTGGAGGACCGTCCTGTTGAAGCCCTGTGTGCCAAGTTTGTGAGGGTTGAATGCTTTTTGTATTTAGAGGGGCAAGAAGGTGGACCCAAGCTGTTAGCCCACATTGTTAAGCCACAATGACTTCTGCACTGACAAAACTGTCAAAACAATGAATATAGATGGACTTCCTTACAGCTAACCCTACACAAATATACACGCTAATTTGCATTAAACACAAATAAAGCTCCAAAGTTAAATAAAACATACGAAAAACATGATTTTGTATCAAGTGTTTGATCACTTACACAACTTTTCTATCCAAAGCCTTAGTACAGCAAGGTCGTTTGTGTTCTTAAGATAAAGAAAGGACTTGTTCCTCCATTGCAGACCGAGCTGTAAACTCCCACATTCAGAAAGACTGCAGTCAGCTTTCCGACTGAACCCACACACGTCATCTTACAAAACGGGTCAGATAAGACCTCAAGTGACCTATGAAACAAAGCTTTCTTTGCCCCATGTCATCACTCATCACATGGCAACACCATGCAGTGACATGATTCAGTTGTCCACATAATGGCAACACTCATTCACCGCTCTGATACATACAATTATGTGTTTATTAACATAAAATCAGCAATGTTACAAAACAAATTACAAACACACATTACATTCCAACTTATTATTCAGATAAACCTTCATAAAATAACCTCACAGAAATCCAAAAAGGCAGCCTTAAGTTCTCACTTTGGAAAGTTGTAACAAAAATATGACAATTAATATTATTTTATATTCCTTAATTTACCAGCACGTTTGCAAGCAGGAATGCTTTAGACGAAATATGCACCTATGAATTATATTATTTTATCCTCTCAGGCCAAAGAACTCCAACAGCATCTAAACAGAAATCACATAATGAATCTTAAACTGGTATTTAATAAATGAAAAAAGTCCCGAAACGCTGGTGGCATAAACACATCATACACAAAGCTTACTCCCACAAGAAAAACAAAACTGGTTAAAACTGAGAAAACACATCCGGGAGCAATTTAAATAAGACAATAGTCTCTGAAGATCGGTCACATATATCCTGGCAAAAAGATAACACAACTGAGATAGAAAAACAAAGTGCTGGTTGATTCAGCTACATTTTTAAGTAACAGTGAAGGGTCCAATACTGTAGTTTTTTCAAAATGTGGTTGCTGTGTGGCGATGTCCGCTCAGGTTTCGGTCACACATTCCAAACCCCATACAATGATGTATTTGGGGAATCCTTTTGAAGTCATCCAGCTGCACATTTTGAAACCTCTCCAGCTGTTAGCATCTGCCTCGGGACTGAAGGACCACCATTGTTGCTGCCACAGGTTGTGTTAAAACACCTGAAGCCAGTATAAAGACAATCCTGTCATGTTTCTTCTTGACACACTCACTAAGGCTCTGTATGAGGCACACTGGTGACGTCGCTTAAAGTGGACAAAGTGGTGCATTTCTTCCAATATTTTTTCTGCCCAAAAATCCGCTACGAGAAAGTCTACCGTTTGAAAGGATAAGCAGCATTCACTTGGAGCAGCTATGTGCAGCGTTGCATAGCCCAGGTTCCATTTAAGAGATCTCAATGATCAGATGTCTATCAACAGGTAGTTCATTCAAGGATATCCGTTTCAAATGGAACCAGATGGTAGTAGGAAAGGTTGGTGACATACGCTTCTGTGTCCTCATCACGCAAATCTGCTTCCATCGACAAAAACTCTGTTCCATCCTCATACCTGGCAAAAAAATAAAACGATGCGTTACTCCAAGGATAAGAAACACTTCTAGGTTTAGAAATAGGAATCAAAAGCGTGATGTATTGCCGTTTTCTATTGCTGACATCAACCCTTAGAGATTTTATTTGCCAGTCGAGTAGGAATTTCAGATATTTAAGAGTTATGTAGAGCATTGTTTTGCATTATGCACCAAGAGCAATCAGTTCCTCTTTTGCTTCCTACACACACCCAGGGAAGGAAGAGGAACACAGACACACTTCCTCTTGAGGCGGAGGGTCCGAGGTTGGGTCATATTCGAAGACTTCAACATTCACACTTCCTAAACACTCGAGAGCCAACATGGAAACCTTTTTTTTGTAGAAAACAAGCAGCTTGATGATAGATTTAATGAATGTTTGAAATGAATGGAGCCAATATTAGAGAGTATTCTATGAAAAAGCCAATATTATAGGGACTGAGACACTGGCAGAATATTAAAATGAGGCATTCTTAATACTCACGTATGTTCCACTGAGTCTGTGGATGAGGGTCTCTCTTTTTCTTCAGGGAGACTGTTATCAAACACAATGGTTTCTGTGTTGGCCAGACAGAATCCATTGGACTGCATGATTTCTAAAAAGGCACAGAGTGTTGTTTGAGTTACATTAGGGATGTCAACAGGCGCTCCATCTTTTTTCTTAGAAGAAATACAATATACCTGATATTGTGATTGGACTCTGAAAGCATGGCTGGATTCTGTGGACTTTGTCGTTCCTCAGCACCTGGTCCAGCGGCGATCGCTCAAAGAAAGTCAACATCACCTCTGACCTTGCATACTAGGGAGCCAGGATATTAGCACTTTAGCATACAGTTCACATAATTGTGCGTTTCAAAACATATAACTTTCACACTTAAGCCAGTCTAATCGATTAATTCCTGATACTGGACACCTCAAAGTGCAGTATCCCACCACTGGTATGGTCACTTGCTAAATAAAAAATAAATACCATTGTTCTACATGTTGCAGTCAATCAGAATTGAGTATTCAACCAATACCTCAGGGTTATAGTCTACACCAACCTTGCATGGCATGTTGATGGCATTCTTCAGAAGTCTTTCCACCTCATTCAATTTCTCCTCAATGTCGTTGGCCTCTTTGATTTTCACCAGCCCTAAAACAAATATGAATATTTAAAATCTCCATTATGAGGATTTCAAAAACTGTTTTCTCCATCCACTAGGGCATTTATATAATTCAACACAACACATCTATAATTAATCCTATCTTTGTGAAACTAAAAACCTTCAGAATATGGTCTTATAATGTCAGAGAGAACAGTTTAAAAAGTATGGTATTTTTATGTCTAAAGTTTGTCTCACTGCAGCATAAATAATTAAATGAAATAGCTACCGTAATAATAGAAACAACTCTAAAGACTAAAGAGTCTGCTGTAAACAAGAAAAGAAAAAGACTGTTCCGCAATCAAAATGTTAAATGTTACTTTTTCTGTTTGACCAAAAAGGGCTGCTGCTGTGCCCTTTATTGCCACCAGACTGTTATCTGTCCACTCAAAAAGCCAGAATGGTCTAATTTGATCCCTAGTCTTGAACAAGGTTGCCTCAAATATGTAGTATATATGGCACTATAACCTTTTTAGTGACAAGGCCCTGTGTTATTACCCAAAGTGGAAAGAGGGAAAAAATAGACTTTTCATCATTGTCTTTTCAACATGGAAACAGTGCATCACTGTAAAGCTGTAGTGTTATTGCAAACATTCAGCAGACATATAACAGAGGAAAGTAATAATAGTGCTAGAGAAAAGAGCAACAAAATAAACTATTCATCCTACATATACAATTTAAGAAGCAGTGGGGAGTGTAAAATCAGCCCTTTAAGCAACTAAAGACTTCCGCCCATGTTAGCGGGCAGTCAGCAAAGCAACATTTTTACTGCCTTGCTGACAAAGGGATGTGGTGAGGAGAATAATGATGAAGACTGCAGCCACACTGATGAGTCTCTGTCTGATGTAAGTGGTACAGGAACATAGTCACACAGCGGTTAGTGGAGGTTCTGAGTAAGAGAGCCTAAAGCATCACTGTGCACAGTCACCGTCTCATCCATCTATAATGGCCAGCAGTGATGACATCATACCCAGGGGGATGCGAAGAGTGATCGGGCAGTTAAATCATCACTAGGAACTAAGTGAGACTCCTGCCCAGTCTGAGCCTCAAACTGCCTCCGGATCATGTTCTTTTATCCTTTTAAACCCCTTTGTCAGTTTCCTCTGTAAATGTGACAAATCAAACAAGTAAAGGGCTTATACTGGTGTTGTTCTGTCAAGATTGAGACGTAACAGTAATTCAGTTTAAGGCGAATAAAAAAATATTTTTTCTTACTAATGCTTTTGGGATTTAAAAGATTATTTAATATGGTAAACATATTGAGCAGATCATTTGTTGGTTTATCCACATAATTTGAATTGGTGTAAGTAACTATAGTGCCATTAAATAAAGGCAATTGCACAGAAATTCAAAGTGGACAGCATGGAAATGATCAGAAAACATTACATTAGTTGAATTCATGTTTTTACAGTGCATGCTATTTTGTGAAATGGTTGATTCTCGGGGGTTGATACAGATAATTAAAAGCAGTTAACATCTCAAACGGAAACAAAGCCTGGATGATAACATGACTACAGGGACTTCAAACCACACCCTGTCTCATCAGCTGTTCCTTGTAAACAGATTGGAAAGTCTACGTCCTGCCGTTTAGGGCACTAATGTTTCCAATCAACTGCACATTATTTATTATGAAGGGCAAGCACACAGCACACCAGGGTGCAGATAGAAACAGGGAAGGGAATGTTAGGGACTGACAACAATCATCACAAGTGCTCTCAATCCCCTAAAAAGCATTTTTCTCATGGTTATAGTAGATAGGGAAGGCCAGAGGAGCTTGTCCCAAGAAGAAGCTTGTGTTGGACACAGAAAATATTCAGCAGCCTAGATAAGCCTTAGCAGCTGGTGCCCAAGATATATTTTACATTTAAAATTCATCAATATTAAATGGTGCTAACCACAGTGGATCTGGTGTGTATAGCTGCAACTTGGTGTTGTTCTTCTCTATAATTTGAAACAGCAAATTGACACATACCTGCTGCCATCAGAACAAGAAAAACATTCTCTTAAAACTGCTAAAAGACTTTAAAATGCTGAAAATATGATATTAATCTTTACTTTGTCTTCCTAGACCAACCTTACTTTGTGCAGTTGGGTGTCTCTTCAGGTTGAAAATCTATTATTAAAGTGGAACGGTGAAAAACAGTGGTTTGTGTGATCTTGGAGAGGTTAATGTGGGTTGCATCCATTAACTAAAGTGTAAGAAAAGGCACACAACCTGTATGCAAAGGATACAAGCAGGAGGGCGTCCCAAAATGCAGCTAATCTTGACACCAAAATAGCAGCGCGCCACTGAACTGACAGTGACACCCCTCCTACTGTGCCTCTTCTCCCACTGTGGCAACGGGCACAGGCAAGGGAAAAAACAACTCTAAAATCTAGGAAATGGTTTAATCTTTCCCCTCATTTTGATCCCTCTATTCCACCATTTTATATGTTCAACACAGAATGCAGCTCTGTTTTCTCCTGCTAAGTTCCCCAAGTGTATTTCCTCCAATCTCCTGTCAAATTGTCTATTTCCTGCTTGGCTTTCTCCTTGCTACAGTGTCCTTCTTTCTTAGACTATTCATTCAGCCCCAAGTAAGGTCTTATTGTTGATGGCCTTCACTCTTAGTTATCTTATGTTTTGGAGATAAGCAGTCTTCATGTGCCTTGTGCAACAAGTTCATAAAATGTATTGATAACAGTAACTACATAGAGAAATGTTGGTGTATGTCCCCGCCTCTTACTTTTGTAATTGCCGACTGTTATTTCTGTGACAGCATGCCGTGTTGATAAGCCACTTCACCTATTAGCTGAAATAACACAGTAGAAGTAGATGCACAACAGGAACATGACTGTCGAACACATTATCTAAGCAGTCATCAGATGTTGTAAGCACCAGCTATTTCACAGCTATCCTCTGCATGGATCTGATAAGCACAAGTCAGCAGCCGAACGTTTTATCATCTAACCGCTAACTCTCCGCTGTTTCGTCAATGTGTTATTTCTAGCGGCTTAGTCAACAAGCAGAGGACATCCAACCTCAAACATCCAATTTCAATGTGTCCAAAATGGCTACCTAGTGCACCATATTGACTGAAGGACATTTCATTTCAGCTTCCATATTCTGACAGTAAAATCAATGCTATTCTGCGACGACTAATTTCCCAAAGACTTTCACGAGTAATAAAATCTAAACGTTAGTTCTTCACTTACTTTATCAACCAATATTCCACATTTAAGGGTTAAAGAAGAACATGTATACCATTCTTATTTGTTCAATTTAACTAGTCAGTAACTTACAACTTAAACGATTTTTGCAATGATTTTGATTAATCTCTACAACAATGTGTGACATGTAAAATAGATACATTGCAGTTTTAACGGTATGGACTATTTTTCTTTTTAATACTTTTAAATTGTTCATTTTAGTGATGCTGTTGGACATACATATTTTCTTATGTACCGGCAGAGCCAGGATTGGTGTTTTACACATGTTTCCATTCTTTGTGCTAAGCTAGCTGGCCGTAGGCCTACATTCATTTCTAATTAACAGATATGAGCGCTGTATCTATATTCTCATCTAACCCCAAGTAGCAAGTAAGCAGATATATTTATTTCCAAAATTGTTATAAACACACATTATATGGTCAGTTCTTCTAACTATTCAATAACTATGTCAACAAGGAAGGACAAATACAGTGTCTATACTACAAAAAACGTAATCCAATGTCCCAAAGATATGTAACTCGGCGCTACTAAGCGTCCAAGACCAAACTATAAAATATTTACTATGTAGGATTAGTGAACGAGTGTAAGAGGAAGTGACTTCTGACACAGTAATATGATTCTTGGGTGGAATCTTTCTCACAAGGAATGTGAGCAATCACTTCCTGCCTGTGTTCACTCCGGGGTCACATGAAAGGTAAGTGTTATGGGGCCTTTGCAGTCCACAGGGACCAAATATGGGAAGTCCACTCCTCTCTCCCTCTCTCTCTCGTCATGACATCAGTCTGAGAGCTCTGCACGCCTGCCTTGTTGCTTAGACGCAGCACAGAAACATGAAAACATGAGCGGAGCCAGAAACTGGAGCAAAGTGGACTGAGAAAGGCCACAGTTACACTTTTTCACAGCTTTCAGTCCAAGTGGCAATTTATAGGGGATGCAAATTAAATATTGAGAGGTAGGAATTAAAGAAAGGCCATTAGAGGAATTTTATTATCCCTGTGGCTTGCTATCCATCCATGAAATTGTAAAGCCAGCTTGAAGGAACACTGATGTCTCTTTCAGTGCTGATGTCACAACTCCATTTATCTTTTAGCTGTAATTAGGCTGTAAAGGGTGACAGTTATATAAAAAAAGAAGTTAAAAAAGTGAGTCAGATCTAAAATGTCTCTTCCCTAAATGCACTGCAGACTGCAGCAATAGAGCAGCTAGCTGTCAACAAGCTTCTCAGCTATTTCAGTGCGCGAGCAGGAAGTGGAGCGTTCCAGTCGCCACTAAAGGGATGTTTCCAAAATGTTTGTAGAGACTCAGTGCGTAGAGACAAAAGAGTGCCAAGGAACGAGAAGAAGTCTGGAGCTCTGCCAAACCTGTTGGCCGTGCCACAGTGCTACAGTATCAAATATCCAGACCCTTAGGCCGGGGCCAGAGGTTTAGGCTAATTAAGCAAAAGACTGCCCTCTAAAAAGCCCTGAAGCATTGCTGTAGAAGATGTCACAGCACCTTTTCATAAATAAATACTTTTCAACCTGTCAATCAATTTATTTTTCATGGATGGTTAATGATTCTGAATGTTTTAACATGCTCAAAGTAATACAGCTTTTGCTGATTTTTGTTTGAGAACCAAATCAGCCATCTTAACTTAATATTGAATTACAAAAGCATTTTGACAAATACAAACTGAATGTTTCTATCACATTAGGGGGGGAAATGCAATTCCAAAGTGTCATCTCTTTCAGGACAGCCACAAAAACGGTCCCCTTACAGCTGGGTATTGTAACCCTGGTCATTTCTCTGTGAAGCTCAAAGTTCTCCCTGTGTGTGTTTGGGTTTACTCCCACAGCGAGATCTGCAATTGCCTTTGATCAATGCACAACTGAGGTTGGTTCCTAGGCGTCAGATAATAGCTGCTCAGACATCCCAGCAACATCCATTCTTCCTAAATAGTTGTCATGTGTCAGATGCAGAGCGCAAATATTAACATGGAAGTCAGTGTTGGTTCTTTGATATTCTCCCATTGGGAACTTTTAAGCCACAAAGAAGTGAAAGCAGCCTTTTAGCTCATAAATATTGACATTAGATACATGCTCTCAGTTTGTTGGTTTTGTGGTTTCAGGGCTATGTGATCGGTCTCCTAATGTGACACCCAAAAGTGGACTCTGTTAAATATTACCCTGTCCAAACAAAAGCATGTAAACCTAATCTATGATGCGCTTCATTCTTATTGATTTTGTTGACAATGTTTTCCTGCTTTTGTTTTGCTGCCCTAAACATATTATTCAAATAATCTTTGTTAATGTGTTGACTAAGATGATTTCATGAAATAATGCAGCCTGTCCTCCTACAAAAAACGACCATATAGGCCGATTGTTCATGCCCTTATTACGACCCAGAGACACGTTTTAAAGTGTATGTTGTTTCTTACACGACCACTAGAGGTGCTCTAGTGGTCGTGTAAGAAACAACATGCTCCCGGCCCGTTCATTGCAGACGCTCCGGAGGGACGTTTATTCACAAATAAGTTATAACCCTTTCTGGAAAATCCTAAATTGTGGAATAGTTTGGCCATTAAAATGCTTTTTTGATTCGATTTCTGGCGAGAAGTGTATATTGTACTCTTAGAATCCACGTCCAGTCGATGTGTAGGATCTATAGTTTGATAGATATTACGAAGATGATTTGAGGTCTCGCCAGGAGAACGTGTACATGCGGCAGCTTCATGTAAAGTTAGCGTGAACCCTCACGGGGTGAAAACAGTTTTTCCGGTCTCAAAGTTTTCATAATAAAACCGGATATATTCCCCTCACTGTCAAATGATTACACAGTGATATCTGCATTACTCATCCACTAAAAAACATCTGTTTATCCTTGTTAATTAGACAATATTGATTGTTTTAAAAGTGTACAATGCTTTTGTGTTTTTAACCTTCGATTCAGAGAAACAAATAGTTTTTTCGGAGTTTAGACACTACAGCTACCCACAGAATCCCCAGCTATCGTTTGGGACTACAAAATCCGCCTTGCTTTACAAACCCCGTGATTAGTCATCAAGCGCTGTGATTGGATGTTGGAGTGGCAGTGCGACAAGGTTACGCTGAGCGTCAAACGGCTCTATGAAATGGAATGGAACCACGACAGACTTTCCAAAACTGGAATTGGGTCCACAGCCCCTCCCCCCCACATAATTACACACGCTGGCTATGGTGTGTTTCGCAACATGTTCTATGGCACG